GGCTGGAGGCCAGGGGCAAACATGTCTGCGCTGGCCGCTCAGCCCAGCACCACGGGCCCATCTGCCCAGCGGTGGCGGGTGAGGAAGAGGACATGTCCAGGCTGGGCATGGTCCTCAAGGGCAGACAACGGACGGGGGTCTGGGCACGTGCCCTGAACACACAGCACTGTTCCTGCCTCCACACCTCTGTTCCAGCTGCTCCTTCCTCCCTGCACACCCTTCCCAAGTCCTAGCCGTCCGGGGACACCGGTGCACCCTTCCTCAGGAAATGTGTCCAGACGCTGCCAGCTGGAACCACCTCTCCTTTGGCCTGTCTCTCTGCCCCAGCACTTCCCAGTCGGCCCCGAGCCCCCGCTACTTTGGGTCTACCTCTGTTCGGGTCCACAATGTTTCCTCCATGAAAACACCAGACCCCAGCCATGGGGGAGCAGCAGGTCCTCGCCGCGCACAGAGCACATCCAGAGCCCGGCCCTGGTGCACTCGGGCACGGGCGGCAGTCGGGCAGGCCCAGCTCCGGGCACTGGCCCATCCGCGCACCGGCCGGGGGCTGGGTACCAGCTGTTGCCAGTCTGCCAAGCCCCAAGGTTAGCAGTGAGGAAACAGGCTGAGAGAGGAGGGCTCTACTGCTCAGGGTCATGCTGCAAATGAACGCCTCTCTGGGGTGCAGAGCTGGGGCGGCCGGACCCCAGCTCCATCCATTTGGCCTCTGAAGGGACTGGACGCATCTAAGACCATCTTAGCAGCTGACATCCCGTGTTCACTGTGCCCCGGGCTCTGGCTACACCATACTCAGTCACATAATCTCCAAATGGGGAGCAATGTCCTCAGTGCTCCTTTTTCACAGCTGGGGAAACTGAGGCTTGGGAGGAAGTTCAAGGTCACAGACACACTAAGGGGTCCTGCTTCTAAGCCAGGCCTCCCTGCCTCTGAACCCACACACCCCATCCTGCCGCCCACACGTCTCACTGACCTCGTCTCAGTGACCAGCCAGGTCACTCCTCAGTGCACTTCTGACTCAGGCCCACCCCTGGGGAACACAGCTTCCCAGCAGTGTCGGTGGAGAAGCAGGACAGGACACCAGGACACGAAGGGCAGGACACGGAGCGTGGGGGCCGTGCTGAGAGCTCAGATGCAAAGGGCAGGCCCTTTAGCATGTGGCCGCAGTGTGGCGGGCTGGGTGTGGAGCAGAGCGGAGAGCCGGGACGGTGGCGCAGGCGGGGCCCTGGCTTACCCACGCACTTCCTGTGCACGTTGAGGATAAAGCCCTCAGCACAGAGCACTGTGTGGTTGACACAGTAGAAGGATCCCAGTGTGTTCACACAGAACTGTCGCCGGCTACAATCGTGAGCACCCAGCAGGCACTCGTCTTGGTCTAGTGACAGCCGCAGGAGGAAAAACAGAAGGGCCGTTAGAGGGGCGTGGCCTCCAGTGACACAGATAGACCCAGTGACAGATGGGGCAACTGGGACCCAGACAGGGGCAGCGACCTGCCGAGGGCCTCCTAGGCCATCAGTGGTACCTCTGGGCTTTGGGCCCAAGTCTGAGTTTGTCCAGTCAAAAGATGTCGGAGCAGGAGCCCTAGTAAGGACAGGTAGCAGGGTGAGGCTCAGAGAGGGTCGACAGCCTGCCGGGGGTCACACAGCGGACGGGACCAGAGGCCGTCTCCCACCCATGCTCTGGAGACACTCCCCCTCCATGGGCGCCCAAGGGAGCCACACGATGGCTGGGGTTGCAAACAAATGCTTGGGGGACAAGACAGGGGCATAAACAGGATAAGGGGCAAAGGGGGTTCTACTCCACCGTGGGGCCTATGCTATGTCCAAATGGAGACCTGGGCTGGGGGTTCCTTGTGGACACATGCTACAAAGTTTCAAGAGAACCCTGAACTCTGGACATTTTTTAGAAATTCTTGAGCTCCCGTTGTTGGTAACTTGTTTGATTATTTTAAACAGGGTGGAGCTCAGCGGGACGTCCCTGCAGGGCAAGCTGTGCCTCCGACGCCATCTGCACCCTCTGGCCTGAACCCCGCCACCTTCACTGCCGGGGGCCCTGAAGAGAGGAAGGGAGGGACACGGAAGCCAGCCACGGCCTGAGAGGCCCGAAGGAGTCTGGACCCAGGAGAGATGCATGCCTCATGTCTGCAGGGCCCTGGGAGGTGGGGAGCAAAGCCAGATCTGCGCCCAGCATCTGAGAGAGAGGCCTGCCAGTCACCACCACGCTGTGTGCCCTAGGCAAGTCTCCCGCCCTCTCTGGGCATGAGCATGGTTTCCATCCACACCAGAACAGTCTCAGCCAAAGAGCTGGAGGTGGGTTTCAGCTGCTGGCAGGGACATGGGTCTTTTGCCAGACAGACTTAACCCTGTTACCCCTAGACCCCCCTCCAGGGTCCCGTCTTCCGAACTTGAACCTGAACTAAAGCATTTCCTAGACCATCTGCAGGCTCCTGCCTGCCCTGCCTCCAGACACAAGGAGATGCAGTCTCAAGGTGTCACTCACAGTGGGAACCACCCCCACAGGAGTCGCGTCGATGGCCCCCTTTCACGCGGGAGGTCCCAGCCCACAGAGGCCCCAGACCGAGCGGGGTCGCAGGTGAGAAAGGGACACGCTTTTAGACCCTCTTCGGCGCTTCTGTGAAGGTAAAGTCACCAACATCCACTCCTTGGTTACAGAACAGAACTGAGAGTGCACCACCCGGCTGGGGGCGACCCTTCCCCATCGGGGCCAGCGGGAGGGGCGTCCTTCCTCAGACAACTGAGCAGTCTCTGCCCTCTGTCCTGGCTCCACCCGCGGCTGGAACAGGACAGGATGGTCACAGACCAACCCAGGCCACTCAGACGAGGGCGCCCCCGAGCACAGAGCTAGTCAGAGTGTCGGCTAGGGAGCCTGGAGCCCCTCCCCAGACCTATAGGGTCAGATCTCTGGGGCCACGTGGAATTCTCAGGATCCCGCAGTCCCCACACCCCAGTTTGAGAAGGTCTGCACCAGGGAGCGGCAGGGCAACAAGATGGGAGCGGCGGGGCCGCGGCCCGCCCGTGTGCCCGCCCTGGGCTGCACGTGCACCTGTGCACGTGAAGTGACAAGCCCTTGTTTCAGGGGCTTAGTTCATAGCTTGTCATTACAGCAGCCAAGCCTGCTCCCTCAGTGAGGCAGCGGTTTCAGACCCGGCCCACCTCCACCGCTCTGGGCCCGCCCCGGCCGGCT